AAGCGTGCAAACAGCTGTTTGGCAGCGGCCGGGCGGGAAGTGCTGGGAGGTAGGCAGAGGAGCAGGGACCCAGCATGCTCAGGGGAAGAGGAGGTGGGGCGGGGGGTGAAGCTTGGCTGCCAGTGGGTGCAGAGCCTATGCCAAAGAGGGAGCCCTGCGGAACCACCATAGAAGGGGGGGGGGAATTAGGAGGATCCTTAGAATGACTCACTGAAGGAGCAATTAGAGATAGGAGGACAAGCAAGAAAGGACTGAGTTAAGAAAGTCAACAGAGGATAAGATAATCAATAAGCATGTGATTGAGAGTTCCAAAGGTGACTGACAAGTTGAGAAGGAGAATGGAGTACTTGTTCCAAGTTGTTCCAGGAAAATGTTTATTAGAGACATTGTCAAGGACTGCTTCAGTGGAGTTCACATGGCAGAAACAGACTGAAGATCATGACTTCCATAGATTGTAGGGCTCTGCTACCAAATGCTGTGTCAACTAAGTCCCAAATCAAGCACAATGTTTTGCAAATTTATGTACTGACGCTCATGTAGCTGCTTTGAATTTTTCTTTGCTTTCCATTTTTTCTGCTGGTGCATGAACTTTTCTCTGAAGAGAATTCTGCTTTAATTGTACATTAATTTTTATATTGCGCTCATCCATCATGGTATTCAAGAACTTCTTGAAGAACATGCTTTGAGGTCTGGTGGAAAGAATTTATCTTGCTATTTATATACTTTAGATATGCATCTAGTAATCCTCCTGGCTACTGTGTCCTTCTGATGCCTGTCACACAAAGAGAAGAAGGCAGCAGAGAGAAATGTGGAATATGTAAATGATTCTGTCCTGCCAATATATGTTTTGCTCGCCCTTCTTTGCATGTTCAGGTTGTTTAACATTTTCCTTGGGATGTGATAGGACTTGGCAGGAAGTCTCCTGGCCCTCTGGAGTGTATATGAGATGTCATCCCAGGCTTGATGTATTTTGGAATTTTCATAGGAACCCCGACCTTGTGAAATTTACAGTATTGGTCCTCTGCTGATTGTGTCCCCAATTCACAGAATCTGCCGGCCAAAGTTACAGATGAGGCTAGGAACAGACAAACTGCATAGGGATATAGAGTGTAATGGTTTGAAAGATGGCTGTGCTAGATCTTGTAAGACCATATTTCGATTCCAAGGCGATCACAGTGACTGGTGGGTGTAACACAGCCATGCATGCTGATGACTGCACCGAAGCCTTTCCTGCATCATATAATGAATAAAGAAAGCTATGGCTGTTGATTGTACCTCAAGGTAGGTAAGAATCAGGCCCACTGATATGGTTGTTCTTTAGGAAGTTATGTATTGTGAAGTGTTCTGGTGATTCATTCTGCCTTCTATGCACTGAATGTTGACTCCACACTGAATCCTCAGGTTTCTTACTGTTACCATTTCTCTCTGATGCTAGCAACATTATTACATGTCCAGAACACTTCTATTTTCAAGTATTTTCTTTGGAGCAGCAAGGGTACTATGGCTCATGGAGGACAAAATAGTCCTATAGCCCCTGCTATAGCAGATTTGGTGCAATCAGCAAGTTATCTGGTTTTGAGTCTGACGCCCAGACTATTTTTAAGAACCTGTCTCCTACGGCTTGGGTAGCAACAAATATAGTATTACTTCTGATCTCGCATATTTTGTAGGATCCTTGGTGATAAATATATTTGGTGGGATTGCATACAGAATTTGCTGTGGACACACCTTGGATAATACGTTCATAGCCTCCAGAGCCCCATGTTCTCATTCTGAATAAATATTTCTCTACCCTCATTCTTTGAGCTGATAGGAACAGTTTATTTTAGGCTTCCATCTCTCCTCTGGTTCTTAGATAAATATGCGTGAGCCTAATCCTGGGATTTGGTTTACAACAGAGACAACCAGAACTTCCCTCAAGGAACAAGCAGTCTGACTTGTGCTCAGTAACTCAAGAATAATTCAAGTGAAGTAAAATGGAATTAGATCAGTATAAACCTGGTGAGAGATCAGATTCAAACCCAGTCTATCCTGAGAAGAAAGTGAAATGTGTACAATTCGAATTTTCCTTTCAGAGTGTATATTCTCATCTTGATTCATGTGAATTTAAGTGCCTGAACTCTAATTAAGGCTAGCAGAAGTTATTCATGGAGATGAGACTATACGTTCCAAAACCTCCAAATTATTAGGGGTCCCCATTCAGGAGAGGGTCCTGGATTCTCAGAAACAAGATCTACAGAATATTGCTAATACATTTGATTAATATATATTTACCTGGGGAGTATTCTGTCAGGAAGCTTGTGTGTTGGAATAGATACAGGCAACTTTTGCATTTGCCTTGCATAATCAAAGAGCCCTGGTAAATTATGGGAATAAAGCTGAGAAGCTTTACCTGGAAATTAAAAAACAGAATAAAGCTTAATGCACAAAAGTTACGATTCTCAAGCATTTACATTAAAAATAGCAGAAAGACTTACCAGATATTGATAATAAGCAATTGTTCATTACATACAACCACGTACATCTTCGGGGAAATAGCTGATAAAGAAAAAAAATTTACTGAACACAAAATGTGCAGTACAATAAATCAATTTATAAGTTAGTATCTGGATAGGCAATACAACATAATTAACATTGCTATGATTTCTGTAGTAGAAATTGGCCTTAGATAAGTTAAACATAGTATTTTCACTGATTTTAGAGTTAATGCACAGGATAAAGTCATAATACATACAAACTTTATATTTTACACACACACAAATGTATAGTATATGCATACTTTCCCCTGACCCGGGTTTTATCCTAGAAGAGTAGACAGATTCTTCTCAGGGTATTTTCATAGAATATCAGGGTTGGAAGGGACCTTAGGAGGTCATCTAGTCCAACCCCCTGCTCAAAGCAGGACCAATTCCCAACTAAATCATCTCAGCCAGGGCTTTGTCAAGCTGGGCCTTAAAAACCTCCAAGGAAGGAGATTCCACCACCTCCCTAGGTAACCCATTCCAGTGCTTCACCCCCTCCCAGTGAAAAAGTTTTTCCTAATATCCAACATAAACCTCCCCAACTGCAACTTGAGACCATTACTCCTTGTTCTGTCATCAGGTACCACTAAGAACAGTCTAGATCCATCCTCTTTGGAACCCCCTTTCAGGTAGTTGAAAGCAGCTATCAAATCCCCCCTCATTCTTCTCTTCTGCAGATTAAACAATCCCAGTTCCCTCAGCCTCTCCTCATAAGTCATGTGCTCCAGCCCCCT